GGCGGCTACATCCACGCAAGCCATCTACGCGTGATCCCACCTTCAGTCTTCTTGATTACATCTGGACACCAGGGACAGGTGGCTGAGGGAAAAAGGGAGAGGCGATGGATGCAGCCCAAGTCTACTATCAATTACAAATAACTCAGGCGCACGTCACCGTCTCCGCACCACCCTGCTGAGGAGCATACTATGGGCTTAGAGGAAATCGACAGTGGAACTCTCGTGATATGGATAACCTTTGTACATACATCGGCGTTTATTCCAAATGCTGAAAGAAATATTAATAAAATTCAGATTATAAAAGATGTACGCTTATATCACAGGACAGTCCGACCATTGCATCTGATCAGGTTCACTCTGTACTCCACAACGTAGTAGAGCAGGAACGATGTCTTGCATGTGGATTAGTTTTAAGTGATAGCAGACTTTTAATGCATCTATCGCACTCTCTTCTTCCTCGCACAATTGTGTCCGTTGTCAAGACAGACTCAAGAAGAGGGGAGGCAGTGCAGAGTGCATCTGCGCCATATTCGGCATTTGTTACCGGTGTGCAAACCGAATACCGCCTGCCACGCCCTGATCTAGTCTCTCCCTGTTGGTTTATTGTATCTACCACGCGTCCCATTTAAAGGACACTGTTCATGTCAAACATCAAAGATTCATACCTATAAATAGCATGCGGGCCTGGAATGTAGTTCTATTTATCGGAGCTTTCGAACTCGTATACAAACCCATTTTAACGAACTTCAGACTGCAGCAACAATTGGCCAGTTTCTTTGTGTTACGATTAGGGAGCAAATACTTTATTTTTTCAACAATAAGGGCGGCGTATGGTAACTCAAACATTTCTCTCTATTTTCTTTTGTACGCAAACTAATCTGATTTATGAGCGTCTTTCTGCATCTTCAAGCCCATTTACAACAGTGTTGAAACAGACTTTTACTTTGGGTAGGCCCTCGGATGAACGTGGTCAAGAATGGACATACACAGTTAGAATGCTGCGTTTTGTGATTAGGCCTAATTTGCACGACGATAGGCTGTCTTTAGAAATGATTCTACAGGGTCATCTCAGCTGCGGCCATAGTTATGTTCGCTAAGAGTCAGAGTCGTCTTCTATAGCCCCAAACCCTTGTTTATTTCTGTAGAGATATAGAATAACATACCGATAAATGTGTATAGAGGGTGAGTATTTATTTCAGCCATTGTCACAGCTATTACAAGGATAATAAGGGGAGGGGTAAGGCATAAGGGAGGAAGAAAACTGAATTTTGTACGAATGAGAGAGAATATTCGCATTCAATGTATGTCTATTGGTAAAGGAGACAAATGGTCGAACACTGGGACGAAATGTATTTCTTCCTGAGCTTTCGAGCT